CGAGAGAAATCTTCGGACACTTATTCAAAAATCAGAGAAGTACATGAAAACAAAAAGCGCCACCCGCGAAAGCTCGATGTTGCTCTCGCGCTGACGCTTTCAGCCAATTCAAAGTGAGCTTTCGTGAAGCAAGTATTCTTTGCAAACAGGATAAGCTGGCCCGATGCTGCATTGCCAAATTGCACAGACCGCAGCTGCGCTATCGTCAGAAACTCCCCAGGCCATCACATCTGAAGTTTCGCCGTCAGCCGGATAATACTGCGTATGCATTGCGGTGGCAACGACAAAATCCCAAGCGGCGGCGCACAAGCATTCGGTGGCAGCTAAAAGCGGCGCCAGAAAATTCAGGGGCACCCGCCCCGGTGCCCTTGCGTGCACTGGGCGAACTTGCGACTATGCCTCGCGTCGCGGGTCAGTTGCCGTTGACTTGGCCTAAACAGGCCGGGGCGGCGCATGAACGCAGCTGCGCGGGGAAGATGACGTGCTATGTCGCAACGGTCGAATCTCGGACGTACGGCACTTGTCCATACACTACAAGGCAGGGGGGGCAACAACGCGGTGTTCGGAGCGTCGACGGACGCGGAACGTCGCCAAGCCATACACTCGCAAGCACGAAATTCCCAGCACGCCGTCGTCAGCGTCATGTCCCTCGACACCAGACCAAGAAGGAACGTCTCGAGCTGCCAGCGATACGGCGCAGCGAGGCGTAGATTGGTGTCAACGCGCGCCGCAGCTCACCAGTGACCTGCGGCGAAGGGACGGTTCTTCTCCACAGTCGCGTCCCCGTCGCCGTCACGGCGAGGCCACGTTTCAATCACCCCGGCGTCTCGGCGTCGTCGTCATTTCGGACTTTCGAAGCCCGATGTCGGCTCCAAAGTCAAGAGGGTTTGCGGAGCGAAGGGGTGGTGGGAGGGCGGATGAGGGGAATTTATACCCGAAAGTGCCGGAACTCGCGCTGACTCAATGACCGGGTCGGAAGGACGTGGAAGTCCGGGTCAACTTTGCCGGTGATTTGATGCCCCTTAAAGTACATCCGGCGGTCAAAGGTGAGCGGGGGGCACGTGGCTGGCGCGCGCCGGGCGCGCGCCTGTGTTGCGTTCAAGGCAAATCGAAGCACCGCTTGGGAAAGACGGTCAAACAAAAGGCGCTGGATACCCCGCCGACCTTCTGCCAGCAAAAGTACATGACCAGTTTCCATAAATTAGGTAGTGTAAGTTGACTGATTCGGAAATGCGCACGATGGGGCGGAACTGCCTCCGGCACCAGGAAACTGTCATATTTTTATCCGCATGCTATCTGACGATGGTGCTCTGAAGAGTGCGCTGCAGAATTCCAGTTTTTTTTGGTTCCTGTTCTGCTGGGCACTGTCTTCGTCTCAGTGCATATCCTCACTTGTGCTTCATAAGAGACTCCGGAAAACACAACTCGTCTTCGTGAGATCTCATAGTTCCTGCAGGTTTGTCTATCATTGGATAATGTTCAATTGCCGATAGTCATTGCTGACTACTCACAAGTGAACATTATTCAACCAAAGATAGAACCTGGGCGAATTGCGAATCTCATATAAACGATTGACATTTTCCGGACATGAACATTCGTGTTCATGAAAATGCTGATCACGGAATAAATGGGAATACGTCCATTGTCGTATATTCATATGCCTCGCATGTTATCCGTTGGCGTTCCCCCGGCACCTTGTTTTGGACCACCCTCCCGTCCTTCTTATCCACATGTCTGTCCTATTGTACTCATGAGGCGTTGTTAATGCCTCATTTGCAGTAAGAGGGCAAGGGGAGTTGGACGAGGACGCCGAGCAGTCGACAATATGGTCGCTTTTGAGTTTGCTGTACATTTACAAAGCAGACAAATTCGATGCGCTGAACAGCATTTCAATTGTTCTTGGGCAGTGTTCTTTGGAACACTGCCCTTTCCTCGCACGGACACGTGTCCACCCCTTAAGGAAACGCGCTGCTACAACGCCGTGCCTCGTTGCGATTTCATCAGGTCCCAGCACAAAGCAAACACCTAAACGACGGTCATGCCTTTGAACCTCTCCCTTTAAGTGCTTGTTTGGTTCGCAAGCCCACATCCTCTCAGCACCGCGGTGATTGGCATCAGGACTGCGGCATCCGGCGCAGGGTGACGCCTATGGCTGAGAGAGGCAACGCGCGGCGCCGGGGTTACAGTTCCTTAGCAGAGCAGGACACGCGCGCAGGCAGGAACGTGAGTGCGCGAGAGGGCTGCAGCACGGCTAGAACTCGTGTTCGTGGACACCGACGAGACGGAGCTGCGTGCTGCGAATGTGGCGAAGACTTTGAGCTCTTCGGACAGTCGGTTTGATTTAGCTCTCCGATGCAATTCAAGAATCCCTTTGCGAACGGTTTGGCAGTGTGCGCGGGCTTTTGATACGTGGGATTGCTGCTCTTTATGGCAAGTGCATCGACGGATTGAATTGTCCCGCATCTGGTCCAAGTTAATGCGGCAAATAATGTCTTGATTTGTGGGTGCGTTTCCTGCTGTGGATCAATGATATGTACTTTGCTAATTGCTCCAAAGGAGGAGGAGGAGGAGGAGGTTGTGGATGAGCTTGACAGACAGACTCCGGGGCTTTGCTACTCAATTGTGCTGGCAGCATTCTTATTGCTGGCAGGGGTCGCCTTCTTCACTTTGACTATCCTACATGCCACAGGCCACTTGCTCAGCAAAACAGGAGCGGTGAGGAACTGGGAATGTTAATTGCAACCAGGGCTCATTGCAGTTTCTCTTGTGGGGAACGTTTGCCTTGTGATATGCTGTCCACAGAGCATGAGATTTTGCCTTTCACAATTGCAACAACTGCCTCCCACCTTGCATAGAGTCACATTTGAATGCCCTGGTTGTGTGCTGTTCTCAAGAGCCCACTGATGGGCTGGCAGGTGCTTGTGCACCTGGATTGCCTTGCAGCAAAACCAAGTATGTGTCATTTATGGTTTTTGTGCAGGGGTGGGGATTCCTGGTGCTTGGCCTGCTGACATTCATCCCAGGTATTTCAACGCTAGCATCTGTCCCGGTTTGCAGTGGATGGGGTGATGGGGAAGGGGGAATTGCGAATCTGCAGTGGCTGAATTGTTGCCAGGAAGGTGGTGTTGATGTGCCACCAGACACTGTGTCTCAAGCAACGTGCAACGGCAGAAGCACAAGAGAAATAGAAACGAAAAGAATGGGATGCTTTGTGCATTAACAGCACCACAAATGCGCAGGCAATGTTGTTCTCGTACTGATGTAGTGACGGTACCCAATCGCAGTCGCCCTCACCCTGTGCACACTGAAATGGACAAATTTCACGGACTGCTCCTGGCATCGGGAATCTACATTGAAGTGCTTGCAGTCCATCATGGAGTGCGTGAAGTGCCTTGCAGCATTGCATGCGCTGTTAGGGTTGCACTTGCTTGACATTTGATTTGCTCTCCATCGGTAACAAGCCCCCAAGAAGGCTGCGGAAGTGGTGCTGTTTTGGGAGAATAGCCATTACCAGTGGACAGAACAAGGACGACAGGTGCACTGGCTTGGGCTTGGGTTCTGTGACGCGGTTTGTTGAATGCTGTGCAGGCTTCTACCACTCCAGGATTGCCTACTATGCATGGCGGGGGTACGAAGATTATGACTTTCAAAGCATACCTAGATTCTAGCAGCGACACTGTCCTGCTGACAGGGAAAAGGTGAACTCATGAGGCTGCACTTCCTTTGATGTATTGGAATATTTGTTGAGCAATGAATGGCTGCTGATGCCAGCAACGACTTCAAATGCTCACTTGTGCCTGGTGTCACAGAGGAACGCAAATTCACGGAAATTGAGTGGATTTTCATCAGGTGACATTTCTCCAAGGGCCCAGTAGTCGACCTGAGGCGATCATCGTTGCTGCCCTTTTGCACGTATTTGCAAAAGCTGAACGGCCACGTCAGCAGTTTTGGGTAAAGCAGATGTCTGATTATGCGCTAGGATCAGCTGCAATTCATGCCAGCAGGCTATGGGCCCCAGCATGGACTTTGCGACCCTGCATTGTAGCACCCCTTCTCGCCCCACGCCAACGTTGCAGTGGTTACTGTGCATGGTGAGACTTCGAAGCCACAATAGTTCAAGAATGTCAAATGTTATCCTGAACTTCCAGCGTTTGAAAGATGACGGCTTGATTGATGGCTCAAACCGCCCCTGGGCGTGCACGCCGGAAGCATAGTTGTCCCCACCCCATAACTGAGTCCCGACGTTGCCAACAAGAGGCGGCGCAAGTGGCTGGTTTGCCCTTAGCATTACCCGGTGGCGTTGAGCGAACAAATGCATGCTTTAACATCAAGCGTTTCAGCCAGATGCACAACTGTGTACTGTCGATGTGCCGGTGTCAATCATCGTTGGGGAACATGACACTACTGTGTGTCGGTCAGTATTTCACACAAGCATCCATGCCAAATGCCGCAGGCAATCACCACTGCCAAACATCCACCCATTCACAAAACAAACGCCAGCCCAAACATTGCGGCATTGGCATTCCTTCGGGAACATGCGATGTTGTCCCTGCATGTAGAGACTCTGCCATTCGCTGGACTTGTGAGCAGCGGCGACTGCATCATTGATGCAGCATCAAAGAACTGTTGGGCTGTGGTGCTTCCGGCGCCTCTTGTGAAGGTCGTGCTGTTGACGTTTCTGAAAAGCATTTTAGGGCCTGCATTGCGTTTACGTCATTGCAAGCTCTGACAGCTGAATTGGAGTATAGAATATCTGGAGCAGACATCAGGCGAACCCATGACAGTAGTTTCCACAACACACAATGAAGCAGCCCCTGCCTGGCATCCACAGCCATTGTGTCATTATTCGGTGGCATGCCACAGATGGCACGACTTAACAAAGTGGCAGAAGTCTGGCGCCGCCAAGCACGTCCTCGCCACCAAGCCGCGCCCCAGACACCTCCATTCGCATGGCCATCAGCGCCCCAGGTCAATCAAGCCAAGTCTAGCCCTCCCGCGACTCATGCCTGGCTCTCTGCCTCCACCAACTCCTTCAAGAAGTCTTCTTCATCGACAAACACGGTCTTCCAGCCGTCAGGGTCCACAGTGGCACAGATCTTGGTCCCGATGCCCGGCACAGGCCCCGCCTCTCTGGTCAGCTCCCACCCAGCCGCCTTGATGTCTTCAGCAGTCTTGTACACGTCTTTCGTGCTGACTGCAATTTGGCCGTAGGCATTGCCCTTCGTGTAGCTCTCCTTGCCCCAGTTGTACGTCAGTTCCATCACCTGTGCGGGGAAAGCAAACACCAAGGGACGGGGCGGCGTTGAGACACACTCGAGGCAGGCAATGTCACCTGGGTGAACAGCGTCCACAGACAGAAACTAACAAGTGGACGAAGGGGACTGCCAGGCGCTGCTTGCGGCCAAAGAATACTGGTAGACATTCATGCCTCCACTGTGTTGGGCTCATTCCCATGTTGGTTGCGATTTCATGGCTGGCACGTGGTTTCAATAAATATGCGGAGTGCTATGACACTGTCCAACAAGGAGTCGTTCCTCATATCAGCTGTATCTGTGCGTGTCTGCACATTCACGCCCCAAGGTGATCTCGCTGGATGGCAAGCCGCACGGAGGTGCCTTCCGAGGCTCGCTGTGATGAGCTCGATCAGGAGCGCACGTTCCCCTGGCGACGGTTGAAGTGCATTCAGTTGACGCCGACCTATTCAGCAACTAAAGAACTACGCCCTTTGCCCTGTGGGGGCTATTCACGAAGCGACAGTTGTCTTGATCGGAGCGTTTGGGCCCAGACAGACTCAGCAGTGCACAGTGCCGCCAGCATCGGAAAGGCTGGATCAAAAACAAAGGGAACACAGAGTTGAATGGCAAAAATGGCCACAAACTGTGAATTGATTGCCAAAAATGTGGCTGCACTCACTGGGCTGCTGTCCTCTGGGCCGTAACCCATGAACGCAAGGGTGTACTTGTACTCCGGATTCTCCCTCGTCCTCAGCAACTGCATTCCCAGGGCCTCTTTGTAGTACTTTATGCTCTTCTCCAGGTCGCCCACCCGGAGCATGACCTGGCACATGGGATCGTCTCGTTTCTCGGGTTTCTGGATGAGTTCCCATTTGTAGCCAGTGGGGTCCTCAACAAAGGCGATGACAGTCGTGCCGCCCTTCACCGGTCCAGCATCCCTTGAGACCTGGAGGGCAGCGGGGCAGCAGGGATTGGTCAGCAACAGAATGGCGTATCGTGCGCTAACTCAGTGGCTCTGAGAATACTGGAGCATGAAGAGAATGAACAGAACTGACTTTCCTTGCAATTCAAGTGCAGCAGCGCAAGTCAAGAACTGATTGCTTTCTTGAGTAGTGCATCGACAAAACAGGGCGTTGCACAGCCATGTCCAGCCCTTCAAAATTGCCATCAGTCCCACAATCCCCTGAGATGAAAACGAACAATTGACAGATCGTCCAAGGACGAAACCAACAATCAAGATTCGCATGTGTCGAATATGGCAGCCAGCTAAGGAGCCCATCCACATCGTTATCGCTTTGTGACAAACCTCTGCTCGCCTTTGGCTCACTTTCGACAACTATGCAGATTTCACATTCTTGTACGCGTCCGGATACAAATCTGCGATAATGCTGATACATTCTAACAACAATGGATTCTTTTGGCATGTTTTTCAACATAAGGGCCATGTGCACAGCACCACTGCAACTCGGCGCTTGCCGCATTTCTTATGAGGGCACACCTTCCCTCCTGCAGTCTTGATATCACCCACTGCCTTGTAGACATCTGGCAGCTGGATACCAAAGTGGCCAAATCCCTCTCCCAGGTCGTACGAGTCAACACCATAGTTGTATGTCAGCTCAGTGACAAAATGGGTCCGTTCGTTTCCATACCCCAAGAAGGCATTCCTTAACACCCACAAAAAACATCGATCAGAAACAAGACAACAACTTATGCGTACAACAGTTCTCCTTCCAACTGAGGAAAAGGAGCCAAGGCAGCCATTTTAGCAATGTCAGCACAACACAAGGGGCAGGAATTACAAAGAAGCTAATTCCCGCCCTGACATTTCCTTTGTTCCTTCCAGAGCTCCAGCAATGGCCACTCTTTGTAACACATTGTGGCCACATCCACAGAGACCACGTTGGGCAGACACTCAGTTCGCTACTGATGCAATGTGGCAGACAATGTGACATTGCACAGCCTTCATGACAGAGTTTTGGCAAGTCATGCTTGTGTCCAAGGAAGGGTTCCTTCCAGAGCTCCATGAATGGCCGCTCTTTGCCACACATTGTGGCCACATCCACAGACACCACGTTGGGCAGACACTCAGTATGCTACTGATGCACCGTGGCAGACAATGTGACATTGCACAGCCTTCATGACAGATTTTTGGCAAGTCCTGCTCGTGTCCAAGGAAGGCATCAACACAGTCGCTGGAGCAAAAGCAGCCCACTTGCCCTAACAGAAGTTACAGAGGCATTTGCTTTTGAATATCTTCTTTCTCTGAGCCACCAATGCAGGGACAAACAGTGCCTGAGTTGCGACTGTGAGGTAAGTTGTTGTGCTTGGGTCATGCACTGGTGCCTTGACTGACTGACTCTGGCAACTCAAGCAGAATGGAACAGCACCAGCAGAGTGCCCAGGGGTGACCCAATCTTGCTCACGTGTACTTTTCTTCTTTTATGTCTCTGTACCGAAGGAGCTGCATGCCAAAACATTTCTTGTAGTAGTCGATTGTGGCATCCATGTCTCCAACGCGGTACACCACATGCAGAAGCCTGCGCTTGTCTTCTTCCACCCACTTTGAAGCAGCCATTGCTGCCACAGAACAGCGCCTGTGCATTTGACAGTCATAATACCATTGGCTTCAGAGTAATCATAGGCATGAACTTGCTCAGGCAGATATTTAATGCCGTGGATTCACTGCCAGAACTCCAAAGCGTGCATGTGCTGAAATGCTCAAATTGATTCCTGATCATGGACAGAAGTGCACTAAGCTATTTTATCTGTTGTAAACGCAATTGTGCATGCCCATTTGGGCACGATTGCTTGAACGTGCCTCCTCTCAGCTGGGTGTCAGTCAGTCTCCACGTGAAATTGTGGCCGCGGGTTGAGCACCTGCGGGGGCCCAGGATCTAGTGACATGTACGAACATTGGGCCCATGGCAAATGTAGCCAAATTTGGACTGGACCCAATTGTGGACAAACTTCGCCAACAGGATCTGGGGTCGCCCTTGTCGCTGCGCCGCTGTGCCGAACAACAAGACCTCCTCTGCCGATGCGCCACCCAAACAGAACAGAACTGCGCGCGTTGAACATCGACGACTTGATCAGGTGCCGGGCGGTTTCGCTGATTGCGCCACGGCCCTTTGCCGTGCATGTTGTTAAATTGCCATCGACTGACACGCGTGCCGGCAAAGCGCCACGCGATGGCGCAGCAGAGCAGTGGCGCGGAAGGCGAGGCCCGTCGCCACCACCTTCATTCGATTTCGTTCACAGTCGCCATAATGGCGCAAGCCCACACCCCCGGCCCGGTGCGCGCGATTTCCGTCAGTTCCTTCGCAAACACGCGCAAGCATGTTCACCGACGTTCCCCCCCAGCGCCCCAATTCCCCCAACACCCCTACGACCCAACCGCCCGCAGAACATCCGCCAGCCGATACTGGAGATTGCCCATCCGTCATACAAGTCGTCGCCACTGGCACGCATCCCATCGGTTCAACAGATCGACCATGGCCACGTGTCAATTCCCCCACAAGCCACCACCAAGTCCATTCATCGCGCACACTTCAGCGACTTACCCCCTGCGCCGGTACGCCTCCTTCAGACGCCTGGAATCGGCGCAGCGCAGTCCCGCGAGGCTCGCCGGGCGTGTGAAGCCGCAGCCTGGCGTGTTCGCGCCGAGCGGCAGTCGGCGGAGGACCGCCAAAAACACCATGAATAGCGTTTCGAGGGCCGATGACGCCGAGCGAGTTGGCTATTACACGAGAGGCGCTGTTGCCCGCCTGTCGGTTTTTGTGTCGATTGGTACGGGGGGAACCAAAGGCCGGGCGAGGTGGCAGCCAATCGGGACGACCAGCGCCATTGGTGCTTTACTGCTTTTGCGGTCGTGGGGTGGGTCGTGGATTGCGTGTTTGATCAGCGCAGCATTGGGGTTTGTCAATTTTGATTCAGCTTGCCCAAGGTGGTTCTGTGTCTGACACGTGGCTCACTGCCTGGGATGCCCCCCGCATGATGTCGCTGAAAACTGACGTGGCAGTGATGTATGTGTGTTTGGCTTGGCTTGGCTTTAGTTTTTTTAGGTTTTAGGGTTAGGCTTTAAGGTAACCATAAACGCTAAAACCCTAAAACCCTGAAAATCCTGAAAACCAAACCTAAAAAACACTAACCCTAAAATATATTCCAACCTAACCCTAACACCTAAAACCCAGACAGCCACGTCACTGCCACGTCAGTTTTCAGCGCTTTTACAACAGGGCCCCTGGGATGGTCCACAAGGACCACCACCACAATTGATGTGGGCTGTGGGCCACAGCACAAAAAAACTGCAGGTTTGCTTTCAAAGCGTTCCATCCAATGAGCCAGTTTACCCTGCCCGTGCTTGCGCCACAAACGGTCGTCTCGCCTTAACATACTGGTTTCAAACCGGCTGCAAATGCAGCTTCCAGTGCGTTTCTCATCCAGCGTCCATCCAGCATTTCAAGAAAATCGTAATCAGAGTCGATAAAGATTTGACGGCTTGCAAAGCAAAGCACGCACATGCATTGCCAAGTTGCCGTGCTGCAAGGGTGGCTCAATGGTATTGAGTCAATACCTGCAGTTACAAATTCATTTCTTGTGAAGGGAGCCAATCATTCAAAGGGTAGGACACAGATATTTGAAGGACAGCTGAAAGCCCCACCCTGGAAACCATTGTCAACAAGATAAACGTACAATTTACAATACAATAAAAAAATACATGCAAATCGAGGTTCGCATCACCACCATAATATGGCGTTCCAAGACGTGCCATCAAGAAGCATTACCGATCCGCTGCAATCCCTCTTGAACAACAGACAACGTCAACCAAAGCACGCCTGGGTCATTGTTCCGCAGACGCAGCACAGGGTCGCCACCCTCTTCCCTCTGAAATCCTGCCACGCCCAACAAATCCACCGCTGCTGGATGCCTCACAACACGCGAGTATATTGTCGGATTCCTGCACCTCAACCTTCGGTACTTTTCCTCTGCAGGTGACCCCAGCGCATTTCGGAGAATCACTTCCATTGTCTGCAGTGCAACTAACGAGTCTCCTCCACCTGGCAGTGAAAGCAGTCTATCCAGAGCAGCCTCTGCTCTCTTATATCTTTCTACTGCTGGGTCTTCGGTGGAAGCCACATCCTGCATTTGGTCGTCAGAGAAATGTGAACTTGAGGGTTCCACCAATTGTCCTGCTGCCTGTGCAGTCACACCTCTGGACGAAGCATTCTCGAGGTTGGGACATTCATCAGGCATGCCTCCTTGCTGGGAGTCCACGTTGTTGGCAAGAGTTTGTTCCCAATCGCTCGCCGCCACCACAGTTGCACCTCTTGGAGAACCTGGCTCAGCGTCATTGTGTTGGTCAGCCTTGACTTCCTGTCGGACATCAGCATTGCTGGCAACATCTGCAACTCCAGATGGGGATGGGGCAGGGTGCGATCTGCAACAATGGTCATCTGGCCCTAATCCACCTTCACCCAAGTCAAGTGACCCCAGCTTCGTCATTCTGTCCTCATCATCGGCTGTTTGTGGATCGTGGTGCTCGAACCGCTCCAGCTCCACAGCCTCCATTCCATCCTCTTGCGCAACTTTGTTTCCATATTCTTGGCTAGCAGAGGAGCTAGCCTGCTCACTGCCTTTTGGCACTGGGCCTGCCGCTTGCAACCTCTTCAGGGCAGCATCTCGAGCAGCTGCCCTTGGGTCAGCAACAATGGTCACCAACGAACCACCCAGTGTGTGCCCCACTTGGCTGACAGTTTCGGGGTACTCGGTCTGCCATTGCTCCATGTCTTCTGAATCCTGGCGCTGAATCTCCCAGCCACCAAGGACATGGCCAGACTGACTTTGCCGATTAAATTCATCACACTCACGGAGCAACTGCGAGTTCAGACTCTTAAAATTGTTGTCATGTTCACTCCATACCATGTGGGCCAGCTCATGGACAAGTGTCTCGCGAATCTTGAGGTACTTCCGAAAGCCCTTCAGATCATCAGTCCTGAGCCTGAGAGAAATCTCCTGTCCTTTGTTCACGTTGTAGCCAAGAATGCACATTCTGCTGATGCCAACTTTCCCCTCAGGTGGCATTTCACTCAAGAGGCCAACACTCCAACGATGCTTGTTCATGATACCCACAATGCCAGGATCCGATGCCAAGCGGTACAGGAGCTTCAATGCCAATGATTGAGAGGGAATCAGCTGTTTGTCTTCCAGCACGGAGTAGCTGGAGAAAGTGTAACGTCCTGCAAAATTACAACACACAAATTCCGTTGGAAATCAATGCTCTGCTACAGATGCTTAAAAAGCTGCCAAACACATAGGCACTTGAAAAGCACATCAGGCATAAAGAGACAACACTGTGGTGCTTCCAGTGTAAAGCATGGACACAATGCTCTGCCTCTTGTTTTGTCAACACCGCACATGGACAGCGTTCTTCCATAGGTTTTGAATCTGTTCAGAACTCTGTTTTGGACGCTGGATAGCTTGCTAACGCCAGGCCAAGGCCTGAAAGCTGTGGAGGGCATTGTTTCCCATTGCACACAACTATGGCATCGCTGCAGCACAGCGACTGCAACTCCCCAACACGCGGCCTAAGGTACTGTATTGCTGAGTGACTCACTGACCAGCAGAGCACCACAGCAAATGGACAAATGCCCTGGAGGCTGGCAAGAATATCCAGACCCATAACGCATGGCAGCAAGTGAAAAACTCGCTTTGGTGGTCGTTGCGATGCTGTTTCACCAGCTGAAGGGACACTTTGGCAGAGGGTGTGGAGAATAATTCCGTTGTGCAAAGAG